AGTTTTATGTTCTTAATTCTACAAGGAAATATATAAAAAAATCCTTAATTTCCACTAGTGTGACCCATGTGACCCATTTTGTGTTAGCATGTCATCATCTCTATATTATCCACCAACCCTTAAAAAAGTATGAAATTAAACGTAAAGTACTCTTTATAAAATCTTTATTGCTCAAATAAACCAATATATTAATGGAGAAATCTTTATTTTATTTTATTAAAATTACTTCACTAAAAATATGATTTTTCTGTATGTGAAAGACTTATAATATGAACTGAAAGACTGCCAAATTTTGTGAAGATATACACACTATATTGAAAGTCAGAAGTATTAAATCTATAGGCTTTAAACGAGTACAAAGAGGTCACATGGTTGGTCATATTGACCAAGCCTGTGTTAAGTGAGTCAATTAGTAAGTTTTCAGAAACAATGTCTCAATAACTGAAATTTCTATGAAAGCTAAGATCAAACATCTGAACGCAATCCTACACTTTACAAGATCCCAGTACATGACATTATCTTTGTTTTAACTAAACTTCAGTACTATTTAAAAAAAAACCTATTTTAGGAATATGATATGATGCTGGACGTTATATAAAAAGTAGGATTTTATTTTAGGAACAGGATACGATGCTGAACATTAAATAAAAATAATAATAAATAAAGAATACACATGGAAAACAAGAAATAAAGTACTTAGCTGTGTGTCTTCATTTTTTTTGCTGTCGACTTTCAATGACACTTTAACCCTACTTTTTTGTACTAATGGTAGTGGTGCACTAAATAACTTTTATATGATTAAATAATGCACTAATGAACACAGAATAATAACATGCAAAAAGCAGACAATGTCCCATAACTATCACAATTTTTCTGGCTTTCTAACTATGTGACAAGAGCCATTACAAATTAATCCATGCTAGTCGATATCGTGGGAACGAAGCTTGTACTAAAAAGAGAAATTGACAGTTCTCTGTTTATTTGATAGATGAAAATCTTAGCTTTCTTTTGGTTATAAATAATATAATATTAAATGTAAGAGAGAACTATTAAATGTACAAACTGTATCTAAGTACTGGAACAGCAGGAGACCACACAATATACATTAAATGAACTATAACTAAGTACTGGACAGCAGAAGACCACACAATATACATTAAATGAACTACATCTAAGTGATGGACAGCAGG